CACCTAATGCTACCACCACGCTTTCTACAACTACATCACCTAATGCTACCGCCACTCTATCTTCAACTGCAGCACCCAATGCTACCACCCCGCTTTCTACGACTATGGTACATAATGCTACCACAATACTTTCTACTACTACAGCACCTACCGATTATGCCACCACCACGCTTTCTACAACAATGGCACCTAATGCTTCCACAACGCTTTCTACGACTACAGCGCCAAATACTACGACAGCACTTTCTACAACTGCAGGACTTAATACTACCACCGTGCTTTCTACGACTAATGCTACCACCACGCTTTCAATTAAAGGACTTAATGCTACCACCACGCTTTCTACAACTACAGCACCTAATGCTACCACCACTCGTTCTACAACAACATCACCTAATGCTACCACCACGCTTTCTACAACTACAGCACCTAATGCTACAACTACGCTTTCTACGACTACAGTACCTTATTCTACGGTCCCTTCGACTACAACCTCAAATTTAACAACAAACGTCGATTCAAGGTCTCAGTTTCTCACTACATCCTCCCTGTCTGGTGAAATCACAACGGCTCCTGCTACTGATAAACAGTCAACAACAATAACAAGGATATTGTCTACTACAGTGATGGTAACATCCGTCACACCAGGTACGTTTCAAGCAGTAAGGTGGATGTTTACGATTTTACGATCAAACAAACTATCGGGATATTTTACTTGTGTAAATAAGATTCACCGGCTAAATGGAGGTGGTTAAAGCACAATTATGTTGTAATGTCTCTGATGCCTTTTCTTGTAAATGTAAAAAGGCTCCAAGTAGTTTTTCAGGTATGATAAAAAAGAACAAAAGGTCGAACTCTATATTAAAATATTAGCTAAGCACATCGTTTAGATCATTACAATGTGTACAGAAAAATATGAAAAATACACCTTTTTTCACCAGACTCCGGAAACTCAACAACATCAAAAGCAACAAATAGAAAACCAACAGGTGAGAGCTTGTTCTAGTATTAATCATACAAATGGTTACAACTCAACAATAAGTCTGATTTAACCACGACCAAATCGAAAATGGAATACATGTAAAACAAGTTATTCAACACAAAAAAGTCAGACACAATACACCATACTAGAATCCAGGCAGGGGGGGGTCGGAAAACTAGGGGTGTCCACTCTGAAACAAAGTCAGATCTAGCTTCTGTCATTTTTCAAATCGGCCCAACTAATGGGGTAAATGCAGATTGGTTCACATTTTGTGGAAATGCGCACTCTTTTTAAAATGTTTGGCTACTGGCCGCTGGATTTTGCTAGATATTCTGAGCACGACAATTGAAGAATGTATAGGAAATAGTATGTAATTAGAAAAAAAGTGGTGTAGATATAATATATTCGTTGCATTGTTGTTCATTAATTTAAGAAACTCTAGACCAATGAGATTAATACCACGTCTTGTACCTCTTCTTTTCAGAAATGCACGTTGGTTTTATCATGGCCGGAACTATACTTTTCCTTTTACGATAGACGTCACTCTTGTTTTTAAGTCAAATGGAGATAACTTTTACATTTTAATTCTTACGAACACTGTGTAGAAGTCGCTGGATCCCATCCCTTGCCGTCAGAAATTATCCCCAAACAAGAAGATCTTATGGTATGATCAGTCATAACGAAACAAGTACAGTTCGAATTCTATTAGTAGTCACTGTACGTAAGCAGTCCATTTTAATGGAATTCCGCTAGACAAGCAACTCAAGAGAGTCACTCGTTTTATGACCTGGTCCTACTGATAAAGTTTCCCAATAAGTGAAAATCCAAAGTACTTGCACGTGGCCAATTTAGCTGATATCTACAATATGTCAAATTAACAAAGACTGTCAGCGGCCCGTGGGTCAGACAAGAGTGCACGAAGTTTGCCGTACGTGTTAGTCAACATTGTGTTTCGGGTCACTCGACAAAGTTGGAATTTGATCCTTTCGTGAAATACCTGCTATTGTTGATGAAGATTGTAATGACAGTGTTATAATATTCGCGTGACTCATGCTAAAGAAATGATGAAAAGAACAGTACCAGTGTTATTTCTCCATATTGGCTGCAAGTGAATTACAAATACTCTTTATGTGTACATTGTAGAAGCCTAGAAACACAAAATGATGCAATAAAAGACATTTTATGTTTTTTACATCTTACTTGTCATTCTTTTAATCTCATTTTATTTATGGACACGGAACGTAGGTTTCTTAGTGTCCCGAGTACTAGCACTTGAGAGAGTATTCCGCCTTAAATAAATCTGGTGTTTCTTTGGAGGCTAGATTATTACATGTATGTGTATTATGACTGATACATTACTGAAATACATATAAACCACAATTTTTATTAAAAGTCAATTTTAATAAATCGTATAGGATGGACATTTTCACGAAAATGGATATACCCACTTTAAGAGGAAAGAAAAGGTGGAATATCGGTAATACACGTACAGTACATGTGTATATACTAGGTACATATGGCACCACAGTTTCTAACGTTTTAATTGCCTCACCTCCCTTCCCCTTTCTATCTAAAATTGAAATCTTTAGGACTGACACGGTATACAACTTTAACGGACCGACTACAGCACAGGCAACGGGACACAAACTTCATACTGAAATACTGTGACAGCACTGTGAAGAAATATTCGAAAAATCCCCCCATCTTATTTCTCTCACGAACTTGCGAGTATTTAATCACAAGACTTGCCAGCATTCTAACACGTATCATTTTCGGGTGTTTTTTTTTCACTGCAAGTTTGTCAATAGATTTAATGTTTGGGTCAAGTCCACTTAAAACTGTCTTTCCTGTCGCATTTAAAGGGTCACTGGTCATCACAGTTATTAAGGGAATTTTAGGGTCCGTCTCACTTCGAAGGGTTTTCTGTACAGCTCAGATATTAAAGATAGACGACCCAAAGCTTGGATATATACATTTATATTACATAAGAGAATCCTCTAAACAGACTAAATAACGTAGACCTTACTTTCTACACGGTCAGTTGACAGGGTTAACATTAGGCTTGCATGAGAGAGAGAGAGAGAGAGAGAGAGAGAGAGAGAGAGAGAGAGTACCAAAGGCGTAGTTACATTGTGTTACACGTACGGACCAATTTAACTGGTGTGGTACATAATTAACTGTAGCCCTCGATGTGAGAAGGACCTATATTACTATCTCCCCTACGTTAACACGTCACTTCAGGTAATTCGGGCCATTCTGTTTTGTCTAGTGAACCAAATACCGTCACTTGTGCAGTGCGCATACGAGTGTTTTCTGAACCCCATAGCTTACCCCAGCGCCTTTGTGTGAACCAATACAAATGTGACAGAATCTCTGTTCACGTGACAAGGTTTACCTCTGTCGCTTGAATGGGGCCTCACAAAGGCAAGGGTACCCAAGGATATCGTTAAGCTTATTTAGGGTATTTTGCAAGGTAGAGTAGGCGGGGGCATGGGATAGAGTCAATAATGACTATACAACTGGACAATGGAGCTCAAAATTTCGATGTGAAATTTTTCTGACTCACGTTTTAACGAGTTCGGTACTGCGTCTCTAATCTAGAAAGGGAAAGAGAGGCGTTTTGGAGACACGGCTGCGGCGAAGATGAAGGCAGGCGCCGCCATTCTTGTCAAACGAAGCCAGTTGTATTCTCGGGGACTTCGGACCTTGGATAAAGGTCCTTGATCCGCCAGGCAAAGGTGATTACACGTATCATATAGACGTTTCAATGTAGTGCGTGAACTGCATTTTACTGCAGCACTGAAATCACACCCCACGGCAACCAGGCGGAATCCATGATAAATTTCATAATCTTCAATGTGTAACGAACCCTGGCTATAATTAAGTGAGATATAAGAGTATCGCATTCACCCGGGGACATTCATATTAACGCTGAACTTGTATACAGAGAAATATAGATGGTTGTGCTGCCTTCAGGTGCTGTGAGACCTGTGAGATTCTTGAGGTTATATACACTGTGAAGTCGCACTACGTCACACTAGTTTGTGAAGTCAGCAACATTAGCTTAAGGTGACCGGTGCACAACCCCATCAAGAGAATGAAGATGAATTTGTCATATACCGAAGACATGGTGTGGATTTTGATAACGCTGCTAGGAATTCTGCTTCACAGAACAGGTGGGTTGATACCTTAAATAGGAGAATTAACCGATAGTACCCTGTACATGTACTATTATTTTTATTGTAATTTTATAGCTTTACTTGGTTTTTCAAGATCGTCCTGTCTGTACTAGTAGACGCTTGAGCTCTAAATTACCTAACCCTACATATATGATAACAAACCCTGTACTCCCACTACAGAAACCACGATGACATAACGTTACTGGAGGCGGTGCAAGGGCATATTACTTCAAACAAAGATGTTTTTTAAACCAGACCCTTGGGTGTTACATTTAGAACCAATACATTCCACACACACTATGCAAAATTACGTAAATAATATGAAAAGTATTTTAAGAAAGGAGAATATGTATTTTTTACAGGTGCCAGTGAGCTTTACCGATGTCCCCAGGGACTGGCTCACACTATCTTCACCTACGGAGACAGGTGCTACCAATTTGTGAACGAGGAGAAATACTGGGGGGAAGGCCAGAGCTACTGTGGGGGAGCCGGGGGGAGGCTGCTGGAGATATATGACCACAATACCATGGCGTTTATTAAGAACAGATTGAACGTGGGCGTGCATTGGACCAATAATGGCGTCTGGATTGGAGCACACGATAGGAGTGTTGAAGGAAGCTGGCAGTGGGATTCAGGTAGGAGGATGTTTTATTCACTTATCTATCTATCTATCTATCTATCTATCAACAGATATTGACTACACGTATATTGAATCGCCGTTTCTATTCGTTCATTTTCATCACTTTGTTTCTTTCAATTGATTTTTTGCTTATTTCTTTTTCCCTTCAAGCTTCTTTATTTTAAACTGGGTGCATTTCGTCTCTCTCTCTCTCTGTCTCTCTCTCTCTGTCTCTCTGTCTCTCTCTCTCTCTGGTGCAAATGTACAAGGCATTATGACTGCATATATTGCGAAATCTGAAAGCAGACACCATGTAACCTAAGACACAATGTAACCACTCAAATGTGACCGGCTAGCTATTTCAAACCTGGTTTGTTGTTATTACAGTTATCTGTTAAAAAGAGGAACGATGTCTTGAATAAGACTATCTCCTGACATTGACCACGTTAAAACATTTGAAATATTTTCATTTCGTTTTTTCACTTAGGATAAACCTGTCTGTTGGTGGCAGTAAGTCGAAGTTGGTTCCAATTTTTTTCTGTTATTTTTCTGTCTTAAATATGCTTTTTTTTTTATCTTAGTATCTGTCTTTTTTTATTTCCCAGGCGCGCCAATGTCCTATACAAATTGGAACACCGGCGAGCCCGATGACTACTGGCCGATCTATCACCTAGACTGTGCCGTTATGAGGAGGGAAAACGACTGGAGATGGGGGAGTTACCCCTGCAGCACGGCCCAATACCATTACAAGTTTATTTGTATGTATGGTGAGTATGCATACCAGAATAACGTGCATTGGCGTGTGTTTGTCTGTTTTAAGTGAAACTTCTTTATAATCTGTACTTCAAGTTATGAGTCGAAATTTCTGTGCAAGTATTTTCGCGTCCTACTTAATCTTGAATTAAGATAGATCCTTTTTTTGCATTATGAACCCTTGCAATAGGCTTGCACCTATTCCACAAAAAACTAAAAAAGAATACGGATTGTGTTAGTTGTGCATGTTTGTGACACAGCTTGCACATTATTCAATTGAAGCTTAAACGCTCAATATTGCGAGTGATCTTGCAATTTTGGAATAACATAAAGGGCCTTAACATGACGTTATTCATTTTGGATTATAAACATAAACAAATCAGGTGAAAGATTGATTCTTTTTTTTTCAGATATGTCTCCACCAACTACAACTACTACATCTACCACTACTACTACACCTACCACAACTACAACTACTACACCAACCACTACTACAACTACTACACCTACCACAACTACAACCACTACACCTACCACTACTACTACTNACTACACCTACCACTACTACAATTACTACACCTACCACAACTACTACACCTACCAAAACTACTACACCTACCACAACTACAACTACTACTATACCTACCACAACTACAACGTTTATCACAACCACAACTACTACGACACCTACCACAACTACAACTACACCCGCTACAACTACAATGCCTACCACAACTACTACCCCAACTACTACAACTACACCTACTACAACTACAACTACTACACCTACCACAACTACAACTACTACACCTACCATAACTACAACTACAACTACAACACCTACCACAACTACAACTACACCTACTACAATAACTACACCTACCACAACTACAACGCCTATTACAACTACAACTTCTACTAGACCTACCACAACTACAACTACTACACCTTCCACATCTACAATACCTACCACCACTAAAACTACTACTACACCTACTACAAGTGCTACACCTACCGCAACTACAGTCACTACACCTACCACAACTACAATTACTACACCTACCACAACTACTACCCCAACTACAACTACCACAACTACCACAAAAACAATACCGTCTTCAACAACAATGCCCATTACAAGCACAATACCCACCACATCTACTTCACCAACTACAACTTTTTTACCAACAACCAATATTTCACCTACCACAAGTACTACAGTTACCACAACATCTACATCAACTACACATACATCAACTACAACACCAACTACAACTGCTGCACCCATTATGACTACTGATTCAACTACGGCAACATCCACGACAATTACAACTACCTTTACACCAGTCACAACCATCTCTTCTATTACTACACCTACCATAAGTACTACATTAAGCACACTTTTTACATCAAGTAAATCGACACCCAGCTCCACTACTACACCAACGACTACAACTTCTCCAGTGACTACAAAGTCAACCACAAAATCAGAAGATAAATTTATTACCTCAACGACAGTGAAATGGGAAAAGCCAGGTAAAGAAATAATTGAACAGAAAGTAGTAGAAATAGTAAAAGAAATTTTGGCAGACCAGTAGTGTCTGAATTAGATATGTGTGTGTGAGAGAGAGAGAGAGAGAGAGAGAGAGAGAGAGAGAGAGAGAGAGAGATGATAAGAGACTGACCAGTCAAATAACTGTGGATCACCTGCGTTTTTTTAACACCTGGGTCAATGTCCAAGAACAGTGAATGATAAGACACATTGTTCAACTAAGAATGTAGATATAATACCTGGTTCTTCTGATTGCAGGTGGCGCAGGGGCCAATGCCGGGCAGACGGGCGAGTCAGGACAGATCAGCAGTGAAACGAGTAAGGAAGCGTTCAGAACAGATGATCCCCGAACTAACAGATTTACGGAGTAAATATGGCAGACCTCACTTAATAGCAAGCTGCATTATCCCTGATGGTCTCTCCGCCCTAACACGAGCCATTTTACGGATGAAATCTCGGCTTTCATTGCCAGGACCCTGCAGCGACGGCACGTGTGGAGGCGGGGAGACCATCGGGGGATTCAATCGGCATTTTCTAAGGGGGTCGGCCATATTTGAAGACTTGTACAAAATTCCAATTAACAGGAAACTTCATGTGTAGTCATGTAGCAATCCCCTACCCTTAAAAATAAAATGTTAAAAATGTTCTGAGCAAGTCTACTAAGCCTTTCACTGGGTTATCTACTGGTATATGGATGCTCATCTCATTTTTTGTCTTAAAATACCTTAACTCTTTAGGAAACAAAGACACATAAGTGATGTAGCTCCAAGGGTATTTTAAATTTGAATCCACAGTCATTGGCCCATCATTTTATGTTACATTGTGTGCTCTTGCTTCAGCTGGAGCATTTAGACTGTGGGTGCCCTCCTCCTGTGTACGTAAAAATCGAGTGAAAATTGAGAAACATGAAGAATAAATAATTCTATAAATAAATAAATGAATAAATAATGCATATATCGCGGTGTTCTTCTTATCACGAAGCATTGGAAACAATTATGACAGTGGGCATTTTGATTATTTTTATTTTTATTTTTATTTGATTTGATTTTCATTTTTGGTTTCTCTTTTCAGTTATGTACATAGGGATAACATTGGGCTCTTTCCTCATTTTGTTCATAATAGCGGTACTTGTTTACACGTGCTACAGAAGGCGAATACGGTAAGCTTGCCTTTCTGTAACTCAATGCAGTAAGGATGAGTATTGTATATCTTTTTATATTTGTATATTTAAATTGTAAAAAATTGAAGACACAGCAACATGTAATTGTGAGCAACCAGTACCTAGCACAAAAGCCACTAACAATTACTTTATTTGGAACTTGCTTCTTGTTCAACTTGTTAACATAATCCACCTTTTAGTGGCCCCGTGTGTACTACACTGTGTTATATGGTGCGATACCAGCCAGTTCAATGGCCTGTATCCGGGCATTAATGGTATTCTAGCCAGGAAGTTATCTAGTTTGGCCTAAAACTGATCTATGAAACACATAATCGTTTTTCTTAATTACATGGGTAGGTCCTAAATACTGGAGAGGCGTTGCAAAAGAAAGAAAAAAATACATATATAATTTCCGATCATTTTTCCAATTACAGAAATGTAAAAGATCGACTTAGAAGTGAAAGCGTAGACACGGAGAGCACGAACAATGGGGGATACAGCGACATGAACGGGTATGCTAATGTCGGATTCCAGAACCCTATGTATTCAGACACTCCCGTGGACAGTACCACGTCCCCCACAACAGCGCAACCTGACGAGCCCGTTTTGGCTACTCATGCGCCATCTGCAGAACCAAGATACGCCACAACCTTAGGAAAGCCCTGCTCTGTGGCCTTTAATACACGGACCGACTTTGATAACGGAGACGATGGCTATGTCACGCTGTCCGACGGAATACAAGAACCATTATATGAAAACGAGAACGTATCGGTTGCTAATGGTAACATAGGACCCCTGGAGCCCCTGAAAGAAGAATATGTAACGACTATTGTGATAGGTTAGATGTGCTG